ATCCGAAGTTGACCGGCTGGCTTGGAGTTGCAGTGGCGCTTGTGATATGCGCGGCTCTGTTGGCCCTACAAACGGAGCGGCGTGTCCGGCCCACGGCAATCGTACTCGGTTCATCGCCACGGCAAATGCGCCCGTTGACAGCGGCTGAAAATGTCGGTCCCGAGGTCAGGGATGGTAGCTCTTGGCGACGAAGTATGGCAGGGCTGTTGATTCATGTTTGCCAGACAGTTTGTCCGATCTAGTGAACGTTTTGGAACTGTTTCCCCAGAGCGGGTATTCGTTTGTTTGGAAGTTCGGCAGACGTTTGAGCAGCTGTTAGGTGTGCCTTCCCGGTCCACACCCAGCTGAATCGCCCAGCTGAATGTCAGAGGCATGTCAGCTTCGCCGAGTAAGCCCCGTTTGCACAAGTCAGTTTAGAAACTTCGGGTGTGGTATCGGTTCTATTTCCTGTTTCTAGAAGTTGAACAAACAAGCTGGGGAAGATGCCCACCTCCGCAGTGAGGCTATGGCTGTTGCTTTGTAAGTTCCATCGTCTACCAGCCCAGATCCTTGCACTTGCCGCACATGCAACCCTCCTTGGTCTTGGTGTCAAATTCGTCAATCACGCTCCGCGGCTTGACGAAGGTGCCCAAAGGCTCATACTTCAAGTGAGAAAAGCCGAACGCCTCGGGACCCCCGATTTCAAGACCCCTAGCAGACCCAGTCCACTTGTCACTGGCGGCAATTCCCAACACAATGACGAGCAGTCCATACCTGTACTCGGGCGTTCCGATTGCCTCGCCGTTTTGAGCATCGACAACGGCGATGAGATCCGGCACCAGGGCAAGCACATCTCCCTGTTTCTCTTTGCCTGCTTCCTCTGTTGACGTAGATGAGGCGGTCTTGACTGCGGCGATGTTCTCGTTCTTGAAGGGAATCTTAACAAACCCTTTATACTGCTGGGATCTCTGATGGCCGGGTTCATCTGAACCAGACACATCTGCACCTTCGATTATGCATTCGCCATAGACATGTCCCTTTCTCAAGACTCTTTCCACGCCAACGATCTTGCCTTTGAACAGGACCTTGGCTCCAGTTGAACCACCGCACTCTTCAATGATCATCTCGGCAACGTTGTCCACGCGGTTGAGTTTCCTGGCTTTAGCCACAGCGCGACCAATCCTCCAAGACTGAGAGAGTGTGTGCTCAACTACCCATCTCTTGGTCTCTGCCCCAGTAACGGGAGGGTCGGCAACAGCAACCTGTGAACCCATCTCTGCTAAGGCAGCCCTCATTACACGCTCGACCTGCTTGTCCGAAGATGCCCGCGACATAGTGACAATCGCTCCATTGCCATCACTCATCGTGACTGGCGTCCAAATAGGGCTTCGCTCGTTAAAAACAACCGGTGTTGTTTGCCATTTTGTCGGGTACGCCCTGCCCATCCAGTCGCCATCGACAGCAGGAACATCCATGTTGGTGCTGGAGCCAATCATCATGCTCTGCAGGCCATTGGCGCCCCCAATCTCAACCGCAATCATATGTGTCGGAGGCTTTCCGATGTGCTTGTACATCTCTGTCTGTGCCTCTTGCATCTCATCCGCGGACTTCTTCTCGATGGCCACGGTGGGTGACCCGGCGTACCCCCCGCAGCCGACGAGCGCCTCGTCGGGAATATCAGCGGGGTTTACGACCCTCACCACGGCACCCTTGCGGAGCTTCTCGCGCAGGATGATCTGTTGCGAGTAAGGAGACCCGCCGCCTCCAGTTCCGAGGATGTAACATCCGATACTGATCCAGTCCAGATCTGTTTCGCTGATGTACCAGACGCGGTCTTCAACTCTTGGCTTGTATTTCAAAACGTCGACCTCTTTCTTGGCCTTTACTCTCGACGTCTTCTTGGCACGAGCATATCTGGTGTAATCCCGAGCCGAGTCATCTTCATCGCTCAGTGGGATAGACGCGAGATCCGTCCTGGAAAAGTCAAAGTCGCCGGCAGCGCGCACAATGAATCGCGACTTGTTGGCAATATACTGTCATTGTTAGTCAAGAATTCTCTTGTGTGGATTTGGTATACTTACGGCCAAGGGTATTGTGTCCACATCCACAATCTGAACCGACGATGGGATTGCACCTGCACCAACAGCCTTCTCTTTCACCTCCTGCTCCACCTCACTCAATATCTCCTGGCTTGTTCTGGACTCAGTCGATTTGACAGTGTCAATAGTAGCACTGACGCGTGCAATAGCCGCACCGATGGCGTTGGCGACTCCAGCCCACTCGGGCTTGAGGACTTTGCTAGCCCCGCGAAGCTCATTTGGCGCAATTACAGCACCACCACCCACAAGAAGAACTGGGATATCGTTGGGCGAAGTCTTCATCGTGTCGATGACCTTCTCAATCTTGCTTTGGACGATCTGAGTGAATTGAGATAGTTCTCCGGCGTCAAGTGCACCCTTGGCCAAGCTCGCATCACCGATGGACAACGATGATGGTTTCCCTTCATTGGCTAACACGGTGCAATCCGTCGCTGTGAGAGTAGAACCTCCAAAGACGAGAGCTTCACTTTTGATCTTGTAGCCGACACTGTCGGGGCCAACTGTCAATCTCTCCCGGCCCTTGCGAACGATGGAACCACCTCCCAGACCTATGCTCTTGACATCCGGGCATGAAAAGTTCAAGCGGACGCCTGTAAACTCGCTGAAAGCTGCCTGTTGCCTTGGAAACCCATTTGCCTGCAAGAGACCAACATCGGTAGTCGTGCCACCGATATCAACGACCATGACGGCTTCGTCAAGCTGATCCTGCACTAGGAAGGCAGCTCCGCGCATGCTGTTTGTTGGTCCGCTGGAAAAAGTACGGATCGGGAGGTTTGCAGCCATCTCGCCTGAAAGAATAGTTCCGTCGTTCTGGGAGATGAAGACTGGGCAGTGTAGACCAAGTCTCTTGATGGGTTCCTGGAAGGATCGGATCGTCTTGCGGGCGAAGTCCAGTACTGTAGCGTTGAGTATAGCAGCGTTCTCACGCTCCTGGAATCCGAGATTGGCTACGTCCTTTGAGCATGTAACAGTGCAGCCAGGCAGCTCTGAGCGGATGATTTCTGCAACCCTCTCCTCTTGTCTCTCTGTCGTGTCGATTGGGCTGAAGATGCCGTTGACGACAACGTTCTTGATTCCCTTCTCACCGATGACCGAACATTGAGCCTTGATCTCTTCAGGGTCGATATCAGAAATTAGACCGCCATCAACCTCCAGGCCACCTTTGCATAAAGCATAATGGCCCAGAATCAACTCCCTGAGGTCTTCGGGCCAATCCAAGCAAGGCGGGTCGTGCTTGGAAAACTGGCTGGTCAACCTGATAACAGCCACAGGAGCCAGTCTGGTCTCATCCCTCTCGATAAGGGCATTGACGAAATGAGTCGTGCCGATAGTGACGCTCGCGATCTCGCTGGGCTCGATCTTGGAAGACTCGAACATCGTCACGATCGCATTGTTGATGCCATCGCTGGGGTTTGTCGTTGTTGGTGACTTGTGCCATGCGACAATGCCCTTATCTGGCTCCGAGGCCCGCGAAGGGTCCAGGACGACGCCGTCTGTGTTTGTTCCGCCGACATCAACACCGATGCGAAGGTGGCGTGATGTGGACGACATAATTGTCGTGTTTCCCTGTGTCTGGTTTCAACGAATGACAGTGTCTATAGCGAGGTCGATAATCCCAAGATGGCGGAGAGCCAGGCTGTCGCAAAGTGTCCTGAGTGATGCGTCTAAAATGTGGTACGATGCTGACTTCGCGCAAATCGCGTCGGGGAGGGGCGGAAAGTGGGATGTGGGGCCACAAGGGCAAACCGCCGTCTCGCCGCTCGGAGACCGAGACGCGGCGCCGGGACGGAGACCGGGCTCGGAAGGGCCCGCAAGGTCGGCCTCTGCGGTCGGCATTTAGATTTCGAATGGATTCTTCTCATCGGTTTCTGTGGAAACGCATCTCCGGAGTTTGTAATGCACGCCAACCATTTTCTACGGGGGTGTGGGAAACGGTGAGCGTCTGCGAGCATTACTTGACATTCAATCGAGCTTGTGTGAAGCCAACAAAGTCTCCTGGTGTTCACAAATAAATGGTGAAGAAAAGGAAAGGCCAACAGTTGGGTTCAGATTCCACACGACAAGCGCACCCGTGGTATTTCCTAACTTAAGGCGGAGTGAATGAAACGTCGAGCTTTCGGGGCTGGACTATGTGTAGCCTATCATTCAGTTCTTTGTCGATATTGGAATTTCAACCAGCTTGGTCTGTTTAAGAGTGACTGTCTCGTTGAGAGCAAAGATCGTCAGTGGCTTCACAAATTGACGTTGACTACAGCTGGCTCGGCTCGACCCTAAAGCGGGTTCAAGAGAAACATGTTTCAATTCTCGACCTCCCTGAAGCCGGTGAGCCGAACTTTCATGTGAAGGCTAGTGCTGCCGGTCCGGTCGGGCTACTCTGTGGCATTTGCACCTTTTCATGCCACATGTTGAATTTGCGTTGGTGGCTGAAGGCAGAAAGATCATACGAACCAAGTGGTTCACATACTTGTGAGAGAATGCTCTCGCTGGCGCTGGCCTGGCAATCGCGATCTATGAACCTGCATGGACCATATTCGAACATGAACCTGCATGGGCCACATTCAAACATGCCGACTGTGCCCTTGACCGAAAATGCTTTTGAGATCTTCAGATATGTTGTGAATTTTCGAGGCTAGCTGGCGTCATTGTGCATTCCGCTGTCATGATGTCTTATCTGCGCCGAGGCGCGATGCCTTCATTTGGCTGCGCTGGACAAACTGAGGCAATCACGCATACTTGATCTACAGTTTTTGAGATCATCGGTGGGGTGATGTCTAGAACAGTGGCACATTTTATTCTTTCGCTTCATCGGCTATATCATGCTACGTCTCCTGATCTCTGCCATGTATGAAAAGTCGCAGGCATCTCAAACTATCAACAACCTGTTCATCAAACCTTCGGCTATCCCATTCACCGTCCGTCAGCATGTCTTCCAGATCACCTCTTGATCCGATCCCTCGCACGTCTTGCACTCTGCACCGACTTGACGAAATCGCTGATGATTCTTTCGACTTTCATCCCTGTGCTCACATAGCCGAAGGCCCTGGCGAAGCGGAGCATATTCATACCAAGCGACTTATTGTCTGCTGCGATGGAACATGGAACAATTCGTAAGCTTTACCCTTTTAATGTCGAATTCATCATTTCAGATGACTTACGGATCCTTGACAAACCAAAGGAACGCCGCGGGCAACATTTCCACAAATGTCACCCGACTTTCGTCGGCCATTGCGCACAAATGTTGTTCGGGAATGCCGCAAGTCGTCTACTACCATCCGGGCCCCGGGACCGAAGAGTCGAAGATAGCGCAGGGCCTTGGAGGTCTCCTCGGACTAGGTGTTATTAGCGCATGTCTAGTACATTCGCCTCCCGGCTGGTCATTAACTAATCCTTGGCTAGGATATTGCTGATACCTACCGCTTTATCTGCGATAACTACAGCCCCGGCGATGAGATCATTATCTTGGGTTTTTCTCGCGGGGCCTTTGTAGCAAGGTCTGTAGCTGGTATGGTCTGCTCTCTTGGCCTGCTGAACCGCTTCGGCTTAGCCAACTTCGGTGCCATCTTCAGCGACTACCAGAACTTTTCTGAGTGGGATAAGGATACTGAATTCGACCCGAAGAAACATCTCAGGGGCTTCGACATCCACAACTCCGACCAGGTAACGCATGAAATGCAGAGCACCATGAACAAGTCGAACATGATGATTCTGGAGACGAGGGACAACGAGAAGATGGAGAAAGATCTTCACAAGCAAAAGAAGGCCATATTCTACGAGCTGACGGGACGTTCTCATCACGAAAGGGTCATCGGATACGACTTGAAGCCTGTGGAGGAGACACTCAACGAGGATGAGAAAGCTGCGGAGAACAAAAAAGTGGGCAACCTTCAGAGAATGGCCAACATCTACCGAAAGCATCTCAACGAAAGGGTGAGTAACAGCCATAGTATTGACAGCTCAAGACAAATGTTGACAGTCTTTCAAGTTCCGGATGCTCCTTTGCGATAAGAAGAACCGTAATGACCCCGACGGACGCTGGGAGCCTGTCGAGCCTGAAATAAAAGCTCTTGGTAAGTTTGTCTTGGTTGGCTTCGAGGGGGTTTGATGGATACACTGACCTGATGGCCAAATTCATAGGAGTGTGGGATACCGTGGGAAGCCTCGGACTCCCAAAGATGCCATTCGGAATCGATAAGATTCGAAGTGCTCAAGAGGTATAGTGCCTCATTATTTGTGATCTTTTGGGGTTTAGCTGATGACATCCCATTTTAGCTTCGCTTTGCAAGCTTCAAGGTGCATCCTAAGATACACAATGCTTTCCATGCCCTTGCGCTGGATGAATGGCGCACCTCGTTTGCACCCACCCTCTGGACGAACAATGGCACGACAAATTTGCGGCAGGTCTGGTTTCCTGGAAGCCACAGCGACGTAGGTGGCGGCGTGGAAGACAATCAAATCGCGACAATTTCCCTGGCATGTACGTCTGGCTAAAGGAATCCCAAAAGGACGCTGGGGTTTCAATGGAGCTAACATGAGTTGTGTACAGGGATGGCTGATCAACTGACCTCAGTTGGCGTGGAGTTCACGGCGTCAGAGATGTTGCGCATCTTCCGGACTGTGGATCTCTACCTCGAGCAGCGACCGTGGGCTCTTGGCCGAATTAGCAACCCGGGTATCACCGGTCTGCCGGACAAGGCCTGGGACACTCTCTTGTACCCTGTTGAGTGGGTAAGGGGCGGAAACACCTACCACGGCACCCGGACGCCTGGCTTGTACAAAGAAGAGGAGAAGGCGACAGAGAACGTTGGCGGCGAGGAAGTCCAGGGACACGAGCTCGTCCACCCCTCTGTTCGCATTCGATATCTGCATGGCGGGAAAGACTTGGACGACAATGGCATATGGCAATGCAGAGCGTTGACGAAGAATGGTTACTCGCTTTCCAAGTCGGCAGGGGGGAGACCAGAGCATCTTATATCGCCGCCTCTGACTTACGCGGCAACGTTCAACACCCTCGCTGGCACCATCTCCAGCGTCCAGGGAGATAAGAACGACGTCATTGAAGGTCTTGACGACAGACAAAGACACAGGGTAGTTCCGAGACAGTTGCCTTTCGAAGAAGATCTTTATAGCCCTCTCCCCAATGATAACTTCAACTGGGTTGAAGAGAAAGATCTCTACAACTCCGAGGGCATACCGCCTAAAGCATGGGTTTGGAAGTCCGACAAGGCGACTATCCACGAGGAGCGTATCGGGAACTGGGAACGTCTATATCTCTTGGTCAACCAGGGCCACCTTGGAAGGGCCAAAGAACGGAAGTCTTTCGGGCAGCAGAGGGTTGAAGATATGCAGGGTAATTCTTCAAGTGGTCAGGGCTGGTGGCCCTTTGGCGGAACCTCAGATGTGGAGAAGATCAAGAGAGAGAACATTGATAAGAGGCCTTACGGGTACTGGGATTTTATCACCTGGCAGCAAGGCGACACGAGACCACGTCAACGGAGGAAGCGTATCGTGTCGAAGAAGATGGACAAAGATGGGAATGTCATCTCATTCACTGCGGTGCTGGCGCAGTGAGTCCGTTCCAGAAATATGGAACGAACAACTCGCAGATCAGTGAGATCACGCTTTTGACCGTGTCTGTTTAGGGCCTTGTTAGATCGTAATCAATCGACGATTAGTTTTCCCCATGTCTGATAGGTTCTGAACTAAACGTGGAGCTTGGCGTCATGACTTGAGCACTGCATTAGTTTGCCGGTCATCAGCCGAGGCAAGTTGGCCTGCATGACTTCGGTAAGAACTCTGGGCAAACCAACACGACATGCACTCATACATCCAGCAATTTTGGCCTTCATCAATTATTTGCTCAACAGCAGTCTGAATCCGCCGGACGAAGGGAAATTTAACATACTGTTCATCATAACTGATCTGTCGGCAATTCAATCTCGGGGCCATCCAGCAACCCGTCAGTCCTACCTATGGCCCCGCGCAATCCGTAGGAACACACTTGAAATGTCGTTGCACGGACCCATCAAGTCGGCACCATGCCGACGGGTTCATCAGACCGCTAGATCCCGAAGTAGTATCGCTGAAACCTACCCTGCAGTCCTCAGAGCTTCCAGATGCGACCGCCCAGCCAATACGAGACCGAGGAATACTAATATCCCCATACCAAGAGACGAAAATGCGATGCCAGCCGCGGCGGGAAGGACATGGAGGGTGTGTCCGCCCCGGGGTCTAAGCCCAGCGTCACATGGGGTTTCAGGGCGGCGGCCGACAGTTGAAGGAGTATCAGTCAGCTCCTTCATAGCTGTCGGCAACCATGTCGTGACATTGTTTGTTGGCTCTGCCATTTTGCCCACTTGGGTGATGGGATGACGGTTGAGAATTGCATCCGTGCTTGATAATCTTAGATCTTCTTGGCTCTCCCGTCCCATATTTAGCTCGTTCGTTGGTGTTGGGGGAGCCGGCTGCGGCGTAGGGGCCCCATCGTGCCGCTGCAGGCAATGAGTCGGCCGCTCCTCTATGCGGGGAATCCTGGAGTGGGATCTGTCGATTGTGGACTGCGGCCCGGCCACGAGGCCTCGGCCGAGGAACTTTAATATGGTGCGGCCAAGGAGGTGCGTTTCGGTAGTTGTGAGAATTGCCATGCGCCCGAGGGGGAATCTGATGACTCTTGGATGACTTTATCGATATGAGGTCGTCTGATGATTGTGATGATTCGCGTATAAGACTGAGATCCCCGGCCGAATGTTCTTGAAAGTTTCTGGACCATGCTTCGAGAAGATCACATCGAATTCACTTGGAGTTTCTCATCGCAGCCGCTATCTGATTGTATACCCGCAATGGCTCCAAGTCGCATCGACGACTCTCCTGAGAGTCATCCGTCTTCGGATACGGCATACGGGCTAACCGCAACATGGCCTATAGCTTACGACTTGGCCGGGTCTAATCTGCCATGTCGTCTTGAGGGAGAAATTGGCGACCTCGTGGTGCTGGGAGAGATCCCGAAGCAAATCGACGGCACCTTCTACCGGGTCATGACTGATCCGTTTGTCCCGCCACACCCGGGAAACGTCCCCCTCGACGGCGACGGCAACATCTCAGCGTTCCGCATCCGCGACGGCAGGGTAGACATGAAGATGCGCTACGTCGAGACGGAGCGCTACAAGCTGGAGCGGAAAGCAAACAAGGCTCTGTTCGGCCTCTATCGCAACCCGTACACGCACCACCCCTGCGTGCGCGCGGCCGTGGACTCGACGGCGAACACCAACCTCGTGCTCTGGGCGGACCACTTTCTCGCACTGAAAGAGGGTGGTCTGCCCTACTCCGTCGATCCCCATACGCTGGATACCATCAAGTATGATCCGTTTGGGCCACAGGTCAAGGCAAAGACCTTCACGGCGCACCCAAAGGTGGACCCATACACGGAGGAATTGGTTGTTTACGGCTATGAAGCCAAGGGGCTCGCATCTCTCGATATCGTCATCTACTCTCTGGATAGCCAGGGGATCAAACATGATGAGCAGTGGATCAAGTCCCCATGGTGCGCGCCGATCCACGACTGCGCCATCACCCCCAACTGGATCGTTCTGGTCCTCTGGTGCTTCGATGCGAGCGTAGAGCGCATGAAAAAGGGAGGGCACCACTGGGCCTGGGACTACGACAAGCCGGCGACCTTCATCGTCGCCCCGCGCCGGAGGACCACGCCGCTCCCGCCCGGCTGGAGTCCCGGGGAGTACAGAGTGTACCCGTGGAAGAACTGCATGCTCATCCACACGGGCGGCGCATGGGAGAGCGGAGATGGGTCCAAGGTCTTCCTGGAGACGTCGCGCGTGCACGACAACGGCTTCCCCTTCTTCCCGACTGACGACGGCAGACTACCAGCCCCCGACGCAGCATCTGACTACGTGCGCTGGACGTTGGATCTCTCGCAGGCGAGCAATACCCAGGTTCCAGACCCAGAGATCATTCTAGACCTCCCAGCCGAATTCCCTCGCCTCGATGAGAGGTTCCTATCCAAGCCGTACAAACATGTCTTCATCAATGTGCACATCAGCAAGGACGAGAATGGGAAGCCGCAGACTGTGCACAACGGATTGAACGGCTTGGCGATGCTGAACTTGGAGACGAAGCAGACGAAGTACTTTTATGCTGGGTTTGAATCCTACATCCAGGAGCCCATCTTCATCCCGCGGAGTGACGATGCTCCGGAAGGAGACGGCTGGGTGATGGCAATGGTGGAGCGCAGGGGGGCGAACAGGAACGAGATTGTGGTTCTGGATACGAGGGACTTCGAGAAGCCTATTGCTCTCATTCAGCTGCCTTTCCATGTGAAGTCGCAGGTTCACGGGAACTGGGTTGACCAAAGACGGTTGAAGGGGTGGAAGAAGTTGGCAAAGGATGTTGAGGTTGAGCCCATTAGTGGACAAGGAGCATTGGAGCCTCTGTAGAGCGAGAGGTTGAGAGGGTCCTTGTGATGGTGTGTTGTGGATAGGAGAAGAAAACCAGCATTTACTAGCTGTACGCATTATGGATACTACCCCCAAAATGTATCATATTAGAATGAGGTGAAGTTAGTTTGCTAACTATTAGCTCAGGCCATCTGAATTGAAAACGCAGTTGGCAAGATATGCGTACAATCTTGACATGGCATGAAAACATCCATAGGACACCACTTATCCCCTCAACTGACAGACATTGTGGGATGAAATACCCACTGGAGGTGTGTATGGTATCAGAAAACGGCCGGCCGGGGCGGAAGCTCACACAACGAAGAAGTCTGGGGGGTATCGCTTTGTATTCAAACACCACGCTAAGCATAGTTGACATCCAGTCTCACGCACGAAGCATCAATAGCCCAGTCAGCTGGTTGCAAAAGAGGTGCATTAAGATCTCTGTACCCAGCAGACATGGACCATTTCCCTCCGCACCCTTCCCATCCACTACCAACAACCCCTCTCCTCCACACACATCCAACGTACTCCTTCAACCAGCAACATTCTCCCTTACGGCATCGCGACCCAGCTCCCGGCGGCGAGCACGATACTAGCACACACAATCGCGATCACGGGGCCGGTCGTGAGCGGGTCCGGGACAGGGATGTTGGACAGCTGCAGGACGGTGCGCTGGGTGAAGTTGCGCTCGGCCTCGACGAGGGCGAGGGCGGTCAGGTTGCCGCAGGCGGTGTTGAGGGCCTGGTCCATGATGACGGTGGGCAGCTTCGCGATGGCGGTGTCGAGGACCTCGGCGTTGTACTGGTTGCCGTTGGGCGAGGCCGCGAAGAAGGTGGCGCGGTACGTGCTGTTGGCGCCGACGGTGGAGAGGTTGGCGATGCGCGAGTACTCGGCGCACGACATGATGGTCGAGGGCGGGTTCGCGGCGACGGGCGCGGCCTGGCGGACGACGACGGCGAGGCCGGGGGCCTGGTTCGGGTTGGCGATGGCGTTGGCGAGGGCTGTGGCCGCCAGGAGGAGCTGGGCGAGGAAGTAGGCGTGCATCGTGACTGATTTTCTTTCTTGTCTTCCTTCTGTGGTTGTCTTGAGGAGCTCGTCGGGTGGGATATATTACGTCGGAGTAGGTATTGGATGGGACGATGTCGTAACGAGAGGACTGCCGCTCAACAATGCACCCCAAAGCTTAAAAGTGGCCGGCCACTGGAGAATAATAAAATGAATGGAACAAGAAAGAAAGAATAACACACGACAAAAAAGGTTAAACGGAAAGGAAGGTTGTGTCAATCAGGATGGAGGGAGAGAGCAGCGGGCAGCAGACAGCACGCAGACGGGGCGCCAGGAACGGCTGCGTCGTTATATGTGCCATGATTGGAGTTCCTGGTTGTCAGTGCAAGGGGTTGAAGCGTCTGAGACGAGATGACACATTTGGGACCTCAGATCAGACGGTCTGGTGTCTTGGGTGAAGCCACACCAGCGAGAGCTAGACGCCATTTGACGGGACGATCTAGCTAGCTTCTTTCTGCTGAAGATTATTGCTATTCCCAACTAAGAACAACATTCATCTTTTGGCTCTGAGAGTCAGACTTGATGGCGCAAAATAGAGTCGAAATAAACTCGCATCAGCAGTGACAGCGCCATGCAACTGCAGGAAAATAGGGGCACGAAACCTGGGCAACACTGCAGAAATGCCGTCTGACCGATTTTACCGCTGCACAGACCAATCATCGCCTGGATTGAAATGTGGTCCGGCTGTGGCCCCCTCCTGTTTGATCCTCCTCTGGCTCGACGGTCGTTGTTTTTGGTCGCCACTAGCATGACGAGCCCACGGGATCGAACCAGTCGGGCCAAATGTCAGGCTTTGCAGAGCCATAATCACCGAAGCCTTTTCTGTTTACCAAGTGCTCCTGTCATGCTTTCTGAATCAGTTGAGGCGGTGACAGCCCGCGACTCCTGTGAACCAAAGAGTCTGCAGACAAGCCTGGCACATGACCGGGGTGGCTAGGGCCATAGCTAATCGGGCGCCATCAAGCTCTAGCGTCGCGGGAGTGGGAGGCATTTTTAATTATGATTCTGTTCGTTATTCATTCGTGCTGCCATTGATTGGCGGTGGTGGTATCTTGCTGCTGTATGTACGGATATTGCGGAAAATGACTGCGGCGCGAATCTCGGAACCTCGGCGCCTATCGTGAATCACGCCCTCCTCCCTCCCTCTCTCCTCACATCACATCACGTCTCCCCCCCCTGTGTCAGCCCAGCCTGCATCGCAGCGTCAACCGCCCTCGCCGCCCTCCTCTTCCCCCCATCCTTCGGCACCGGCTTCTGCATCTTCGCCGCCCCCAGCCCGCCCAGACTCAGCGGCGCGACCTCGATCGGGGGCACGCCGCACTTGATCGCCATGCTCTTGAAGAACCCACCGACCGGCCGCAGCTCGTCCTGGAAGACGGCCACGTTCGTGAAGCCCTCGCATTTGTACCCGCGGAACAGCTGCGCCTCGCACCCGTCCGCCTTGTTCGCCATGAAGACGCCGCACTGCGCGGTGCCCGGCAGGTCGTAGCACTGCCCGTTGCGCTCCGTGAACTGCGCCATCTTGGACGCCGTCTTGGGCAGCTCCATGTCGACCAGCTGCGCGCCGCTGCGGCACGTCTTGACGCCCGGCGAGCTGCCGTAGAGCTGCACCGTGATCGGGATGGGCGGCTTGTTGTCTTGCTGTGGCGCGCCCGGGGCGGTCGTGTTTGGCGTTGTGATGTCGACCTGGCCGGCTGTCGCGATGGGTGTCTGCGGCGACGGCGGCGACGGCGGAGGGTCTTCGCGGTCCATGATTCGAGGCATCGCGAGGGCCGAGGAGGCGAGCCAGGTGGCCGTGTAGGCGGCTCTGAGGATCGTGTTTGATGCTATTCGCATATTTGATGTTCGATTCTTTGGCAATCTCGAATTTCGATGTTTTGCAGAGACTAAACAGACCCGTTGACTATTGTCAACAGCCAGCTCAACTTCTCCCGCTTTGATGGCGGCGGCGGCGTGTCATGGGATGAAGAGACAGGAACGCCAAGCTGCATCAGCCGTGTTTCAGGGCAACTCCGTAAGTGAGATGCACGGATACTCTCTTGAAACACCCCGAAAAGAGCCTCACAAGATCAACTTAAACTGAATACAGACAAGAGAATTGGATGAAAGATTGAATTAGAAGAGGTAGTAATACTTTGGTATTATACGATCTCAGCCATTTAGGCTGGTGTATGCAGCAATCGACAACAGCAACAACAAGATCAACATCAACATGACTCTGGTATCTGCGTCTAAAAGAATCCAACCAATCTTTACTGGAAAACTCAACCCACAGCGCCCGCACGCGCTCATCGCCGACTCGTACATCATGAATCGTCTTCAACTCTAATGTTCTAACCGCTCTTCAGCACAGAGTTTGCAGGCGACACCTCGCTCTTCTGCTCCGCGTTCGAGATGGCACTCTCCACCGCCGCGGCCACATCTATATGGAAGAACGGCCTGTTCATGCCCTGCAGCGCCGCCAGCTTTCCGTCCCCGCGCCCAGCCACCGGCGCGACGCCGTCATTGACGTTCTTGCTGCTCGGCGAGATCGTGTCCTCCTCGTCGCGGCTGCGCTGCGACGTGACGCGCGGCGCCTGGTTGGAAGCCGAGTCGACCGGCGCGAAGCTGAAGATGGGCTTCCACCGGTTGAGCGTCTCGTCCTTGACGGACGGGTAGCCGAAGCCGGCCGCCGCGAGCGCGCGACGCGTCCAGCGGTTGTTGACGTTGGCAAAGTGCCACTCGACGACCTCGGGCTCCGCGTAGTGGTCGAGCTGGTTGCGCACGTCGACGAGGCTCTGCACCGAGGTGACGTCCATGTTGTTGACGGCGGAGCAGTCGAGGATGATGGCGCGCAGGATCGGGCGGGTGTCTTCCATGTCGATCTTGGCTCCGCGGCGGGGGCCGGGGTCGTTCCAGGGGCGGTCCTATGACACATTAGCTGTCTGCTTGAAAGGAAGAATTCTTCATGGGAACTTACGCCGAGCTTCTCGTAGCGATCGAGGATCGTGCGGCGAGAGTGCGTCATGATGAACTCGGTGAGGCCGTCCATGTAGTGGGCCGCGTTGGTGTAGTTGAAGCCCTCCCCGAAGCGGTACACAAAGACGCCGGGGTAGGGAGTCTCCACGTCGACGATGGGGTTCGACGCGTCGTCCTTCAAGAGAGGGACGTAGGCCTCGCGGGAAGGCAGGTCGATGGCCTCGCCGCGGTCGTTGAAAGGCACGCCCTTGCCCGCGGTATCTTTGGTCGCACGGTAGACCCTGACGCGGCCGAGGAAGCGGCCCTTGGCCTTGGCCAGGCGGACCAGCAACAGCGCCGCGGAAGCGCACATGGTGAGGTAGATACCCTTCTCGATATCGGTGAAGATGGTGAGGATGACGCCGCCGAAGAAGATGAAGACTTCGAGGGGCGAGACCTCCCAGAATTGGTAGACCACCTTGGGCGGCGTGATGAGGTCGCCAACGGCGTGAATAATGAGACCTGCGAGACTAGCCATCGGGATATAGAAGAACACCGAGGTAAGAGCATACAGCGCCAGAAGGACGATGACGGCGGTAAAGATACCAGCCAGAGGCGTGCGGACACCGGCCTTCGACTTGATGGCTGTTCGGGAGAAGGATCCCGTAGCAGGGTACGCGCCCAAGAAGGGCCCGAACAGGTTTGTGAAGCCCACAGCCACCAATTCCTGCGACGGGTTGATCACATAGTTGTTGATTCGTCCAAAGGACTTGGAAATGGCAATGTGCTCGATGATAAGCACGATAATGGTCACCGGCAAATCCGGCGCCACGGCCGAGAGAAGCTCCGTGTCGATCTTCGGCGCCCCGGCATGCTGGAAGCCGCTGGGCACCTTGCCAAGAATCTTGAACTTGGCCTTCTTGGCGTCCCAGTTGACGTTGCGGTTGACGAGCCAGCTGATGAGCACATACAACAAAATCACAAACGCCATGCGCAGCGTCGACATGAAGAACCAGAACTTCTTGCGGTGCGGCTGGCGGTCCGACATGGTGTTACACACGAAGCGGATAGCGTACAGCAGGAACAGCGCCGACAGGCCCATCGCCGCGTCGAGCTTCGCCCGCGGCAGCGCCTTGAGCGTGTCGATGATGACCATGTACGTCGCGCCGCGGGTGTTGACGCCGCTGATGCCGAGGAGCGCGGGCACCTGGCCGGCGGCGATGGAGATGGCGGCGCCCGTCATGAAGGAGGTGATGGCGACCAGCGGGATGAACTCAACGATCCAGCCGAGCCGGACGAGGCCAATGCCGAGGAGCACGGCGCCCGAGATGATGGCAAGGGCCTGGGCGATCTGCGGCGCCTCGTACTGCGGGTGGGTGTCTTGCACGCGAAGGACGATGTTGCCCACGAGCTGGGACATGACGGCGACGGTGCCGATGGTGATGTCCTTGGAGGTCGCGAAGGCCCAGTACAGCAGGAAGCCGACGAAGGAGGTGTAGAGGCCGTACTCGGGGCTCAATTGGGCGAGGATGGCGTAAGCCATGCCCTGCGGGATGACCACGAAACCGACCGTGACACCTTTCACGAGACTTCGTCAGCCATGGGGGTTTTCTCTCGGCGTGTGGGGTAGTTCTAGAAAGGCAGCGTGAAGGGTCCCTCGTGAGACCCTGCGCCGCCAAGGCTTCTTTCTTGTGTAACGCACACACATCAGGATGGGGGTATCAAGATCCAACGTACCAGCGATGATATCTCCAAGCAGCCATGTGGTGTTGTAGTGGAAGATCCACTGCCAGAAGGGGAAGAGGGACTTGATGTAGGCGAGCGTGCCCGGGACCGTGGGCCGGTGAGCCTCGATGAACTCAGCGACGGTCGGCTCTCTCTCCTCATATTGTTCGACGTCGTTGAAAGAGGCGGCGGCGGACTGGACGGCCTCTCTCGGCTCGTTGCGGTACCGGGCGTCGACGTCGATGCCGAGGCCCTTGGCCAGGACACGTCCGGCGTTCGGCATGGCGGGCGGCGGTGGACTTTTTCTGATATGCCTCCGTGAATTGAAGTTTTCAATGGCCCAAAAGGTTCAATCCTGTGCTCGTCGCTGCAAAGACTTGACAGGCTGAGCAATTGAATCCGAGAAGGATCAGTCAAAGAAAAAACGAGGAGGACCTGGCCGGGACAGGGACAGCCCAGACGAGATTGTGCGGCGGCGGAACAGGGAAACTTATACTGCCTAGTATGCGGCAACATACGAGAGCTACCCGTGATGATGTATTCCCCTCTTGGACGTAGATGCTTGGCCGCGTCGCCAAGAAGCGTGGCTTCGGATCGTCCTGGTCTCGCCAAGGACTCGATTGGAGCCCTGTGATGTTGCGCTCCCACATGCCGCCCGGGGTGTGCGAATCCCATTTTCTGACGACATTATCAATCTCTGTTGCGCTGGCATGGGTGTCAACACCCTCAATATTTTCCCTCTTCTCTCTCTTCAAGCCAGATGATCTTCCGTCGTAGAAGCTATTTGTCCAGCTGCGTGAGAAAGAAACATCCTGTGCTAGATTCCAGTGTTTTGGGATGGCCCATGTTTGGAGTAGCATCAAAGGGTCTAGTGCGTCTGGCGTCTGGCCCGGGGGAGGAGGCAACGAAGAGACGGCGGGGCGGACGGGCACCCACCCCCATGGGCTGACCGAAAAAGGGTCCTGTTTATTTGTTGGAAAAGTGTAAATGTGATATGTACTCTGTCTTTAGGTACTTTGCTGTGGAATGGCCGTGTCTGGCTACATGGGGCAGAGGTCCTGCTCGTCCCGGGTTAGTTTAATTCCTCCCTCTCCGGCGGCCGGCGGCCGGGGTGGTCCTGTCCTGACTCTGTAGGACGTGGGGGCGGCGGGAGAGCTGTCAGAAAAGCAATTCCGCCGTCTAATTCAGCGTGTGCGCCGGACACACCTTGAAATGGCATGTGCCGTTTGGAAACATGGGCTAGCCAACATATGCCTGTGTTGTCTTTTGGGCGGCTAACACGCGGGTTCGCATACAGAACACAACGCTTACTTGATACATGCGCAGGTGACATTCCAGTTCGACTGAACAGCTACCTTCCCTGCATCAGAAGTCTTCACGATCGGCATCGTCTGTCCTGAGTGGTCGATCGTGAGTGAGGCGAGAAGCACGGCAGATAGCGCCTGGGGCTGATCGGTAGACGCGAGGTTAATGGCGTTCCAGACCAACAAAGATGTCCGACCTCGCGGGATGTCTGGGACGTTGGAACAAGACTGGCCCGGCGTCTTGGGATGGTGGCCTAGGTACTAATTAGTCGACGGCCGAAAGAAACTACCGAAACCTGACCGTACATATGAGCAAAATACTTGAGGCTGGTTCAGCTTCTCCGCGGCACGCGTTCACCGTGTACTCAAACACATTCATATGTCGTCCATGTATGCTTCTTGCGCCTTCGCCCTTCCACCCAAACAGTCAGGGATGAACTCCTCTCATTAAGCTTAAATGCTCGATGGCTATTCGGTTACAGCTGTCATGCCCATCCGCGATGCCTTGTGCAGCATAGTCGCTCTTCCGTGCGACCCAGAGCGCTGCCGGATACCCGAGAAGCGCAAGAGAAGGGCACGAAGAATGTCACTCTTTTGATGATCTCGACGCTGAGTTGCACTCCCCACAGACCATCCGCAGGTCTTGCCCCCTCCTTTCCACAGAGCGACCTAGGACACCAGGCAAAACCTGGGCCAGCTAAACAAGAAGGCTGGTCCCTGTCTCATCATGGTTCTTTGGTGCATTCCCTTGGTCCTGGGCGAAGGGGAGGACATGGGGGCAAAGAAGCGCATTTGGCCCGTGGTGTGGTGTTGGAGAACGAAAAAGATTGGGTCCGGGAAGCATATTGGACGATGGTGTCGAGCACGCCA